CGTGTGCGACTTGTGGTCGCATGGCAGCGAAGCGCCGTTGCGGCGTACAGCTGACACATTAGTTACTTTTATTACCTACGAGGTGTGGAGCTACTTCCTGGTGAGCAGCTTTTTACTTGGCGTATGGTGACGACATAGCCCTCATCTGCGACAGCTCCCAAACGTGCCAATCAGCACTGGCTATCACTTGTTTTTGGCTATACTTTGCTTCCTCGAAATGGAAAGTCCTTTACCAAGATTGACAAGGACCCATCCCTTCTCTGACCCTTAGTGATGGTCAGCTAGAAATGTGCTTTATAGATCGTAGCAGTGCGATGTCTTTCTGTAGCAGTCCAGTTCATTTGACAGCAGAGCAGTATAACTAATAGGGTACTTGCAAAATGTCACAAACCTGAATAATAATGTACCGGGTACTGGAAGAACCTTAGGTATGGACATAAAAGGTTTTGAAATCTGTTTGCGGACTTGCGTGTACTGTGTAACGTTCTGGGACAAAAATATGCTGAAATACTTGACCGCGGAAGAGCTGGGTATATTATTTTCATTTACAGTAAGCGTGCGAGAAATATCTCTGAAGGACTGCACCTTATCGCCTCGAAGAAAAGGCAATAATACCCCATTGCATTGGGGCGCATTAAGCGTAAGAGATCTGTATGAAACAGTTCTTCCAGATCTTCCAACCCAGGTTAAAGTGATGAAAAATCCTGGCTAGTGGGGGGGGCTACATCCCAGCACAACGTGTCAGCATATTTGCACCTTATAAACATGGTTTGTCCAGGGAGACGTTCAACATACAAGGATAATAGAATAGGGGATACGATTGTCGTCTGTATAACACCACAGTTGGCACGAAGGACAGAGGATTTCTTACCGTTCAACTTGGTGAAGTGTACGATCCGTAAAATAGTCGCTTAACACACCCGGCCGCAGGAGTCTGCTAATGGACCGCGAAGCTTGGTGGTGTGAACGTGCTAGGGAGATGGAGCTTGCTAGCCTCTCTGGTAATACCAGAAAACTTTTCCATCTCATTCGAGTCACCGAAGGTGTTGGATCTGGTATAAGTGAAGCAATGTGCGAAGAGGATGGCACCTCAATCATCAATCTTCAACGACGGTTGGAGCGATGGGCCGACCATTTTGGCTCACTTTTGTTGGCCCCAGCTCTATCTGCTAACTCTAGCGCTCGCGCTGGGGCCGAGTGGTCTACTCCCACAGATCCTCCCTCTTACCAGAAACTCGAGTAGGAGTTCCGGCACATGAAGCGTCATAAAGCCCCCGACCGTGATGGTCTTCCTCCAGCTCTATTTAAAGATGGTCACGCTTCGCTGCTTCGAGAACTCACGGCTTTGTTCTCGAAAGTTTGGACGAAAGTGAAAATTCCATCATCTTGGGGTGAATCGATAGTCGTGTCCATCTTCAAAAAGGGACTGCGCACAGTCAGCTCCAACTACAGAGGCATAAGCTTCGTCCCCGTCGTTTTCAAGCTGCTGATGTCCATCATACTTCGCTGACTATCTCCAATGCACGAATGTTTGCAGCGAGAACAACAAACTAGGTTTCGCCCTGATCGCTTCTGCAACGATCAAATCTTCACACTCCGTCAGATCCTCGAGCTCCGCGAACGGCTGCTGTATTCTTGGATATCCGTGCAATCTTCGATTCTGTCGATCGGACGGTACTGTGGCACTACTTACTGAGGGATGGTGTCCCCGAGAAGTTCGTCTCCATGCTGCGCCCTCTCTATGGTCTGACCTCTAGCACAGTTAGGGCTTATGGCAAGCTTTCGCCTACCTCTGTGGTCTCCAGTGGAGTTCGATAACGATGCGCTATCTCTCCGTTCCTATTTAACTTTGCCATTGAGGATGTCTTGAAGAACGCTCTGGGTGATTCATTGAATGCTGGAGTTGAGCTCTTCCCAGGTAGTCGAGTTGTTGGTTTGGATTATGCTGATGATATCGTCTTGCTGAGTGACGATCCACACGTTGTCCAACTTGCACTAAACCGCTTGGCGATTGAAGCATCAAAGTATGGCATGTACTTTTCGCCATCTGAATGCAAGGCTCTCTTTCAAGACTGGCAGGTGCCCCTGCCTGCACTCACTCTTGGTGGTAAGACACTAGAGGTTGTGTAGCAATTTGTCTACTTGGGGAGTTGCATCTCTGCTGATGGGGCTGTTGGAGACGAGATTTCGATGCGTTTCTCGAGAGCACGCCTCGCTTTTTCTAGGCTGAGACACTTGTGGCGTCGCCACGACATTCGTCTCTCCATCAGAGGGCGGGTTTATTGTGCAATTGTTCGTGCTGTGCTGTTGAACGGATGCGAGACCTGGCCCATTCGTAAAGGTGAGTTGCGCAGACTATTCGTCTTTGAGCACCCCTGTCTGCGGTCCATTGCCCGTGTGTGGTGGTGGCACCGCGTAAGCAATGTGGAAGTTAGACAGCGTGTCTGGGGCGAGGGAGCCACACGCTCGAAGAGCTCATCTCACTGCATCAACTGCGGTCATTGGGACACGTATTACGAATGCCTATCCAGCTTTATCCGCGTCGTGCGTTGCTGGCAGTTGGTGGACAGGGCTGGAAGAGACGGTCTGATGGACAGCTTGCAACTTGGAGAAGCCGAATGAACTGACGAAACACTTGGCCCGGGCCGGTTGTTGTCGACTGCCTAGTTGGGGTCCGAGAGATGTGGATATTTGCTGGTTGAAAACCTTGGAAGCCATGGCTCAAGATCAATGTCAGTGGCGGACGTGTGCGTCGGTATGTTGAGGTGTCCCTCCTTCCTACTCCTAAAAAAACTGAAAAAGAATTCAAAAACGGCGATTGGCAAACTGGACAAAAAAGCTCTTGTTGTTATTCTTGTGTTATTATTCATACAGTTTTCCTATTCAGCCATGATTATGATGACGCAATATTTGTACCACCATTTGTGTATTATATATATATATATATATATATATATATATATATATTCTCGGATAACAGGTTGAGCAACATTGACATATCCAGGCTTCCGGAGGCATTCGAATAATCCAGGAAGATCTTATGCAGAGGCTATAGAATGAACAAGATATGTCACTGCATCCAAGGTATACTCAAACTGGTAGATGTCGTTCTCAGAGGTGGCTGTGCAGATCTGCGGAATTAACACTTTCGAAAATTTTCAGAAGCACAGATGTACACCTACTCGGCCGATACTTTTGTGGTTCATTTTTCGGTACTGTGGTTATACTGGCCATTCTCCAACTGTCCGGGATCATTCCCATAGTGAGACATTTGCTAAAGAGATCTGTTAAAGACAATGTGATAGAATCGCCACACTCAAAGCTAATGGTGAGAGAGCATCCATACCACGAGCTTTGTTTGCCTTTTCTCTTTTGAGTTTCTTGTGAAACTTGCTTTGATCGAAGTGCGCAGCTAGGCTTGAGCTAATGAAGGAGAGCAAGGAAGGTGACCTTAATGAAGGCCGAACTAAACTCAGCATTCAATTTTTCCACATCCACTTCACTGCTCTGGCTGCAGGCGCTCTTACCACAGCTGCCTAGAACTGCTTCGGCGTATAAGTGGTTTAGTCTTTTTATGTCGGATTTTATTATTGCTGTTAGGCTTTTGACACGCGTAGCATTCTTGCCTGTCAGCCCATTCTTTCATCCTTCGAATCTGCTTTAGTAGTGGTGATGAGAATCTATCCATCCTTAGGTGTATCGTTTCAGCAGGGCGACACTTGTCAAAGCAATATTTGATGTTGTCCGTATGCTGGTCACATTGACGCGACAGGTCCTCATCGTTGAAGGCCGAAAAATCAGTTAAAGAAATCTTTGTCTTGAGCCTCGGAATATTTTCGAAGGAGCGATTTCACCGTTTGATAATCTTGTAAGGACGTCTGATCAGCGTGCAAAAAATTAGATCTGGACACAGTTTTAACATATAATTGTCTGAGGTGCTCAAAGGCGCCCGTTTTTTGTATGGAAAATAACTTTTTTATTTGTGTACACAGCGTCTAATCGAGCATCTTCTCTGGTCGAAACAGTCACTAGGTCTCCCAAGCCAAATGTCTTCAAGAATGTTATATCCTTTCTATAGAAGTCGCCAGCAACAATACAGATAAAGCTATCTAATCTATGCAATAGCATTGGAGAAACTTTGTCCTCAAAAAGCTTTAACTCTGACGCACATGTGTCAGGATCAATGTATACGTTTCCAACAATGGCTGATTGAAATCCATTTAAGAACTTCGCTTTGCATTAAATTAAATGTCAGCTTATAGAAGTCTTTTGGTATGTGGACATTACGGTTGCTGAGTTTCACCAACGTTGGTTAATCAAAGTTATAACTTCACCACCAAAAAACCGGCACTTCCAGGGCGGTCAGACCTGATTGAAAAATGACCATCAAGTTGAATAACCTCATTTTCTATATCAGTATGCAACCAACTTTCCTGTAACAGAATGAATGCTGTATTAACACACTCATTTCACTGCGTGATAGCAGTGAGATCACTGATTTTATCAAAAAGCGGGCACACAGTGTGACTTGCGCTTTACCGACTGAACGGCGACTGAGGCCAGATTGCCAGCCAGCACGATTCTTTCGCTTTTTTTTTCAAGACATTTACTTCTAGTTCCTTTGAAGCTTTTCCTAACTTTATGAAGCACGGATTTAAGGCAGTAACGCACAACCTTTTTAAATGTTTGACGGAGTAGGACATCATTGACTTTGAGACTTGACCGGATTGAACATTGCTTCAAAGATACAAATAAAATATAAAATCCGCATTCGGTAATGTGAAATAATTTTCTAACGACAACAACGGCCAAATTTTTCTTGCCCTGCCAATGGTAGTAGTTCGCTTTCATTTTTTGCGGATTTCAATCTGGAACTTCTCTTCAGTTCTGTTTAGAACCCGAATTTTCGACTTTTCCACAGTTCTCGATGTACAGCTTTCTTTGGACCGTATACCACGATTAAACCTACACTCACATCTTTTATCTTTGATTCTTTTCAGGGTGCTGAAGTTGCCTGGGAATGTGTAAGTTCTGCATTCTGCGACATTTTGACGATGCGATATATTTGTTTTTGACGTATATGTTCACTTCCATTTATCCCTCATCACGATGCCGCACGTTCATGTGGGTGTGCCTTCTTCCCTCATGTTTCCTTCATATTCTTCGTTCGACAGCTATACAGTTTCAAGTAATGTTCCTGAACCTTAGTTTATACAAATTTTACTACGACCATTTCAGTTTCGGTTCACCTTATATCTGCCACCGAGAATAAATGCTTGGGACGTGTTCATGTTCTTTCCTTCTCTCCATACTTCAAATTTTCCTCCTCAGTGTCGTCCTGATTACTCACTGCGTTGTGTACTTGTCGACAGCGTGTCCACGTGAGCTTCGCTTTAAGTATGCTTACTTGTTCCCTTTTTTAGTGAGCTTTTTTGTTTTCCTAACCTCACATCTTTTTAACTCCGAGGTGTCTTATTGTCACAACAAAACTTCCACCGACTGCCTACTTCGTATTATCATTTTGTTCTCCATTTTAACACGTTCGCTGCAAATGAATGACCACAAATAGTATTTTCATTACTCAAATTATGTACAACAGATTTCACCTAATATCGGCAGCTATTCCTGGTCTGATTGTCTATGTTTCAGTGTAAATATTTCCATTTGTCACCTTAGATTACCTGGATGCATCGCTGCACCGAGCTCCTTTCTTGTACCTTTTCTCTTGTCATGTAGTTTACGCTGTGTCAGGCGACAATATCCTAAGTTGCGTTTTAAGGAGATCGGCTTCGTCCCTTCATCGTTGATTAATAAACTGCAAGGGATGCACGAAAGCATTCGACAGTACTATTATTTCGCCGATGTTTAAAAGAGCTATCTAACTCTGGATATTATAATTATATTATGGTATACTCTAGTACTTGCAGGGGATATGAACGCACAAGTAGGGCGCATGAGCTCTTCAGAAGCTCAGCTAGATGGTAATTAAGGGCTTAACTCCGAATGGACTGACAACAGTGGGCGTCTGCTGCAACTGTGTGCGGAGCACCAATTCTTTCTTAGTACCACTGTTTTTAAGCACAGTGGGCTCCGAAGTGCTACTTGGCGTCCTCCTGTAGCTGGCCAGCAATGGACTCAAATTGACCACATAGCCATAAGTTACAGGTGGCGTGGTTCCATCCTGGATTGCCGCTCATACTGGAGTACCTGCATCGACTCTGATCATGCCTTGGTAAGCTGTCGTTTCTCGATGAACTTTACCGGGAGGCACACCAAGCATCCCCGCCTATTCGCAACTGAGAAATTGTCTCAGCCCTCGGTCAGACAAGCCTGTTAAGACGCACTGCGTACCGAACTTTCGCTGTCTTGTCCTAATGGCACTGAGGTTCAGTGGAATAGGATGTCGACCGCCATGCACGACGCAGGAGCACCTGCTTGTGGCACTATCCATCGTCACCGCACTAATCACTGGATATCCGAGAGGTCAGTGAACCTGTTGGAATTCAGAAGAAAACTCCCGGCTAGCTCGGAACACAATGTGACCAGACGGGCTATTAGGCGCGAAGTAAATCGGAGCCTACGTGTTGACAAGGGAGCCTGTTGGACCTGTAGGGCTCAAGAAATGGAGGAGGCAGGAGCAGTAGGCAATTACCGCAAGCTCTTCCAGCTGATCCACATCACTGGTCCCAGAAAACCAGGCGTCTGTGAGACAATCAGAGACAGCACGAGTGCACTGATACACAATAAGGAACGCTGTATGGCTCGTTGGACGGAACACTTTAAAGGTCAATTCAGCTAGCCCCCTGCTCCCGGACCTCTTCCTACTCATGTGATGCAAGACGAGCCATGGACGGTTAGTTTAGAGCCTCCGTCGGGGGGCGAGGTCCGAAACGCGATCACAGCCCTTAATCGTTTTCGTGACGCTGGTTCGGATTCCCTTCCATCTGCACTATTTAAGGGTGGAGGTGAGGTCCTCTGCAAGGCACTGACCTCACTATTCGAACATATCTGGAAGGAAGTGTCCCGGCTACTTGGAGCTAATCGATTATAGTATCAATATATAAGAAGAGCAGTCGCACAGACTGTTCTAACCACATGGGTATTAGCCTAGCGGCAGTTGTGACAAAATTACTGGCCTTGATTCTCGTTTGTCGGCTCACTGCGGAACGGGGATCTCGGATTAGGGAAGAGCCGACCGGTTTCCGCTCAGGAAGTGGTTGTATAGACCATGTATTCACTCTACGGCAAGTGCTAGCACAGCGCCACAAATACGACAGACCGACAATAGCTGTTTTCCTCGATTTCAAGAGTGCGTTCGATTCAGTCGATCGATCGGTTCTGCTCGAAATACTTGCACGGAAAGGTGTTCACACGAAATATGTGAACGTCCTTCGTGCTCTATATTTGAACATTACAGGCCGCATCAATGTCTACGGTAGTCTATTGGATTGCGTCCCGACTACAAGTAGCGTTCGTCTGAGTTGTCCGATTTTCCCATTTCTGTTCAATTTCGTATTGGATTCTATCCTGGAGTGTTTCCTTGCGGAATCACGATCTAGGCGTTTAAATGCTGTCTGGTGAAAGATTAGTTGATCTTGATTATGCGAACGATATGGTCTTACTTTTGGACTATGTTGCGGCGGCACAATCAACCCTGAATAGCCTGTCTAAACTGGTCCCATTATTTGGTATGCACTTCGCACTTTCAAGGTGCAAAGTGTTGCTGCAGGACCACCAGCCACTTTATGATCCGTTGACCCTTGCTACCGAAGAAGGCGAAGTGATTGATCAACTCACTTATCTTGGCAACTGCATCAGCAACGACGGGCGCATAGAAACTGACGTCAGCTCACGCATTGTAATGGCCAGAGCTGTATCCTTAAACCTGCGGCATCTTTGGCGACAGAAAGGAGTTTCCCTTCGTCTGGAAGGCCGTGTATATTAGGCCACAGTGATAGCCGTCCTGCTCTATTGTGGTGAAACTTGGCCCATTTGGTCTGAAGATCTGAGGCGCCTTCAAGTCTTTGATCATCGTTGTCTGCGAAGCATTGCTGGTGTCGGATGGCACGATGACCTTCGTAGGCGAGTACTGGGTAATGATATTCATGATCTATGCGCAACATATAGCACCGAATAAGTTTGCATTGGCTTGACCACGTGCTTCATATGCCTGGTCACCGCTTACCTAGGAGTGCCTTGTTCGATCTGTAAGGTGTAGGGTAGCGCATGGCTCGAGGTGGACAGAAGTTGACTGGGCAGCGGGAGATGAAGTCACTGACGACCAAACTGGGTGCCGTTGGTTCTTCTTGCCTTCCGGGCTGGAGTCCATGTGACTCGACTTATGCTTGGCTCGAGCCTACAGGGCATGGCTCGCAACCGACACGAATGGTGCGTCTGCTGCCATCTCCTAGTCGGATTGCCTGTTTAAAATGTGTTTGGTGCTGAGTTATCTGCGGGGTACTGTCTGATTATGACGCGGGTCAGTGGAAGCTGCAAGGGAGCTGTCTCACCGATGCCGCCTTATCTTTTCACAATAGCCAGCTGTTTGTGACGGTGTTTCGTCTCCACAAGTTGTAGGCGCCTTGACCCTGAATGTTTGCTTAGGGTGTTAAGGTTTTCAGGCACGTCTCCCTTCTCTCCCTCTAATTATTCTTTATTCCAGAGTTCATCATGGTTGTATGGCAGCGAAGCCTCAGTTAAAGTATCTGGTGTACTGTTTTTGAAGACTTGTTAAGCTGTTTGCTTGTTCCGTGCCGTCCGCATAGCCCACGTCACCCATTGCTTATTCTGTCTCTTAGTATCTCGTCCCCTGTTTGCCCCAAGTCAGCCAATATCCGAAATCTACGCTTGGTGGTAAAGTCGTGTTGCCGGTACAGCTACTGAAAGCTGGTACAAGTAGCGTAAAATCTGTAGACATAAGGCCATCCAGGAATGTTGACTTCTCAAAACGCTAAGTCAACTGATCTGATTATTTTTTCAGTGCCACTAGCCACTGGGAATGTAATATATATACATACATATATATATATATATATATATTAAAGGGATAGAAAGAAAACGATGTGGTACAGTAATTACAGAAGTAATGTCTCGCAACATGTCCATAAAGCGGAATTTGGCAGGATGGATGATGCCGTACAGCCGTACTAGGCCTAAGACTGGACCTTCCCGTCGTGCGATGGTTTGCGTGCCACAGCGATCTATTGAGCTATGCTGGGTGATGCTTTTCTGCACCTTTAGAGCCACTTATACTAGTTTGGTCAGTGGTTAGAGGCCAGACAAACAGCCTCCTAGTCCTCCAGGTTGGGGGTTGGAATGAGGGTGGCTCCTTATTCCTTAAAATGGAATCCTTGTAGCCCAACGCCAAACCCGCTGCCTTGTGGTCAGGTTTTTGAACCAAAAGCTTTGGTTGCGAACCCTAATCGTTCTCCTGTCTAGGCCTGGGCTACCTGACAGTATCCTGCCCACTCAATACTATGAACCTTACGTCAGACGAATTCCTGATGCTTTACCCACCGCAGAGGATAATCAACGGTGCTCTCTCTGCTGCATCGAGCAAGGTGGATCTGGGTTTGGATGCTACTACTCGAGCCTACCTATTTTATTATTCCCCCTCTTACACTTTTTCTCCCTTATGGCCCCGTTCCAAGTTCACCTTTATCCCCCTTGTTTTCAACACCCGCAGTTCTTGGCCATCCCCCAACTTGTTTTGCTAGGCCTTTATCTTCTAGTCTCAACTCACATGTAAACGCTGAGCGTCACTTCTGCCCTGTCAACAAGCCCATATCCAAGCAAGCGGTTAATCGGCTTCCATTTGGAGCCCTCGATCATCCTTCAGATTGGCATGCCTCAATGTACACACATTGCTACAGATCAGTCAACAGGCCGCATTTACATGAACATTAGAGACCCTATCGACTGATATCTGCTGATTATCGTAGACCGGCCTGCAAGACGGGAGCTCAGTGCTCACTTTCAGTTGACGCCAACAGCACTTTCTCATTGTGCCTATTCGCTAACGATG